GCCACGTGGGCCCCTCTCACCCCGTCTCTGGCTGTCATCACGACAGCCTCCCGGGTCACCTCTGGCTGCTGGGGGGAGAGGGACGGAGGGGGAGGGAGTTGCACAAAAATACTTCGGGCCGTCAGCAAAGTAAATTATACGTATCCCCCCCAGCCCCACCCCCCCACCCACCGCCACCCTGCCCTCCATTTGACGCCATGGGAGGCATTTCCACAGCAACTCGAGGCACAGGCGTGAGGCTCCTGAGCCCCACTCCCCGCAGTCGGTGCTCTGGGGCCCAGAGGCAGGAGCCGCCGGGCTGCAGGAGGTCCCGAGGAGGAAGGGCCAGTTAGGGCCACTTTGGGATTTGACCTGCTTTGCAAAAGGGAATTCAGCCTGCCCAGACAGAGGGAGCTCCTCCCCTTTGGGCTCAGATTATTCAGAACCAAGTTCTTCCTGCCTGTCGCTGCATCTCGTCTGAGGGAGGGGTGGTCAGACCTCTGTCCCCTTTGAAAGGGTCACAACATGGCCACTGTGAGGCTACGGTTCAGTCTAGTGTAGCTGGCTCCCCTAGACCAAGGTTTTCGTCTGAACTGTACGTTGTTATGTCTGAATCCTCGGGACTGGGCACCCCCACAAGCAAGGAACGTGCCATCCTGTTTGCTGGGTCCCAGGCCCCCTGGCAAGTCTCAGCTGGTCCTTCGCAGAGAGGTACACACTTCATGGCAGTGCTGGGTCTCAGCCTGATGACTCTAACCCCAAAACTGGGAGAAGAGGACTTTGGAATCGTTGAAAAACAACTTAGAAGCTGCAATGCCCTGAATTCACAGAGCATCTCTGCGAGGTTCCAGAACTCCGCCTCCTGGTCGAGGAGGGGGCCGCACCTCTCCTGGCGCTAACTCCTCCCGGTCTGGCAGCTGCGCTCCTGGGAAGGCATCCACCCCTCTCCTCCCCGAGTGGGCTCTTGGGTGGTTTTGGGGATGGCCAAGTCAATTTGACTGTCTGCAGAACTCTGGGTGCGATGGTATTTTCAAGCCTGGCAACGAGCATTTTCCACCCAAATGCTGGGAACAGCGCCGGGCTCTGGCAAGTCACTCCTCGCACTGACGCGGGAGACACTGCAAAGAATGGCATTTTCTGGAGGTCCCACAAATAATGAACTTGCCTCTGCCAGACAGAGACAAACCAAATATGGCCTGTTTGCTTATGGGACAGGCTGTCCAAAAAGCCGGCACTTCAGCAATGTGAGAGTTGGCAAAGCCGTGCTGGCTGCTGGGGCAGAAAGGGGCACCTTTAAGGTGAGAGGAGACGGACGGCTGACCGGCTGACCCTTGAGAAGCCGCATTTCTAAATGAGCATCTCACAGCCAGCAGGGTGGTTTGTCAGCAGTGGGAATGATCACGTGTGCTCGTCGGATGGGCTGCTCTGCTGTAATTCAGGGAAGGTTGTCGTGAGAGGTAAAAACACAACAGCACATGCCAGGATGCTGCCCGCACCAACACGAACGGCTTCCTCTTAGAGTTTCCTCCTTGGCCTCAGAAGGGAGTAACTGTGCCTCCTGGGGACAGTGCCTCTTCTGGGGACAGAGGCAGGACGCACAGAGAAGGGAAGGAGCCCACAACAGGGTGGGGGGAGACCCCTGGTGTCGCTTGTCTTGGGCTGGTGGGCGGAGAGAGACTCACTAGGTGAAAGTCTCAGTGTGGTTTCTCCGGCAAGACCTGGAAGAAGTCAAAGCCACTCCACCCAGGTGTGCGTGGGAGCACGCCTCCCGGGGGCGGGAGGAGGAGAGGGCGGGGGTGGGGGAGAGCGCTAGCCCCGGGCTCCGGCCCCGCCGGCCCCGCCACGTACCCAGTACAGCACGTCGGTCCAGCCCTCCATGGTGATGCACTGGAACACGGTGAGCATGGCGAAGGCGAAGTTGTCGAAGTTGGTGATGCCGTGCTTGGGCCCGTCCCACCCCGGCTTGCACACTGTGCCGTTCTGGCACTGGCGCCCGTGGCCCGTCTCCAGGGCGCAGGGGGAGGGGTCGTCTTCTGCCGGGACATCTCGAGTGGCCGGGGGAAAGAGAAAGAAGCGGAGGGGACGGAGAAACAAGAGATGTTAGAGAGGAAAGTGGTGGGTGAGCCGGGGGGACGGCAAACGGCCACCGTGACAGCAACACGGAGCAGACTTCCCTCATGCCCCCAAACACGAGGCACCAGGGACGCATTTTAGGCCGCCACAGACTTCGGAGGTCAGTGCTTTCAACTGATCGTTGTAGGGGGAGGGCACAGCTCAAGTGGTGGAGCGCACGCCTGGCATGCACGAGGTCCTGGTTCAATCCCCAGCACCTCCTCTAAGAATAAACAAATAGGTAAACCTAATTACCTGCCCCAGCAAAACAAAAGTAGTAACAACTACTTGTTGTAAAGCTGTATTGCAACCTCGGTCACTGATTTCAAGGACAGGAGGGCTGCTGCCTGGCCAGCGGCCAACGGAACAATCACGACGATGCCACCACTCTGAGTACAAAACACCCCGGAGCGTGAAAGTGAATCCTGGTCTCCTTTCTCTGGTTGCCGGCGTCCAGAGGGAGGGTCGGCTGGGAGAGTCTTCCACAGAATCAGCCAGAAATCACCCTGTGATCCTTTCTGACTCCACGTGGGTCCCTTATCCATTACATGATGCTTTACCAGGGGTGCAAGTGACCTCAGAGTGGACGCCCCCTCAGATGAAGGATGGAAGATAAGTTCTGCCGGAGGGAGAGCCCCGCCGTCTCCGTCCCGGCCCCCAAGCACAGACGCCCCCACTGCAGCCATTTGTGCGTGTTGTGGGGACCCCTTCAAGTGCCCTCTGCTCTCCAGCATTAGTGCCTTTCAGGAGAGGAGACAGAGGGGCAGCGGGTGACGGGGAGGAGGCCCCCAGGGACGCAGAACTCTTGGCTTCTTCACGAAGCAGCACCACATCCGCCGTGGCTGGTTCCCCACGCGGGAGAGCCACTAGGAGACGCACGAGGTAAGACCTTCTCGCGTGGAGATTGTGCATAGATTGAACTAAGACTTGGCCGAGCTAAGAGTGTCCACCCTGGTGAAGTACCGAGAGAATCTCGGTCCCAGCGGCAGGAGGTAACAGCGTGCAATTCGCAGAAGTTTGCGAACCTAAGGACATCTCGCGTTTGCAGAAAGAAACGGTCATAAACAGAATAGACCTTAGTTCGAACCAGCAGGCAATGGTCTCCATCCAGCAACAGCGAACGTGCGTCCCTGAGAGAGAACCTGCTGGTCGTCCTTCTTCAGAGACTCCAGGCTCCGAGTCCTCTCTGGTCTCAGACCCCTTAAGGCTCCCGGGGCCACCTCTGCCAGGAGGCGATCGCTTGGTGGCTGTTTCTCAATTTGTGGCTTCGAGTTGAAACTGTCCCCTCCCAGGAGGAAGGCAGCGGAGAAACATTGATCCTTAACTTAGACGTCACACTGGGGGCGTGGACTCGAGTCGTGTGGTTGAAGAAACAGGCCCGCTTTCCCCCTCTCTCTTTGTAGAAATAGAAGTTACAGTCCTTACAGTTCATCAGAGAACACGGACGGCTCAGTTCTTCTCAGTAAATGTACAGAGTCGCAGGCCATCACTGCAACCCACCGAAAATGCCCCCGTAGTCCCAGACTCCCAGGTCTGTCTGCATCAGCCCTGCTCCCACCCCAGCCCCGCAGTCTGTCCGTCTGCTCGTTTGCCCGCTGAGGGACAGAGGGCCTGCCTCTGCTGGGGCCACTGTGAACGGCGTGGCGTCCTGGCTCGTCCGGGGCTGGTGCTTCCAGATGTGAGTCTGTGTGATGACCGAGCGGATCCCTGGTCCCTGAACCAACGCGGGGATGACAGCGCCCCCCACCCCCTACACCCGGGTCTGCCCTGGGGGGCCTTTCATGTCGCTGAACTCAGGCGCAGTTTCTTGTGACTTTTGGAATTTTGAAACCTCTGGGGATTTGGAGGTGCGTTTACACAACAGGAGATTGGAAAAGTCTGGAAACTAAAAGGTGCATCTCATACCTACGGGCTGCATGAGAAAGTGGGCGAGAAGCACCTAAAAATGGAGAGCAGACGGACCGAAACCCGGAACCAGACATCCTAAATTCCGCCGGTGCTCGCCGGCTGAGCGGCAGCTCTCCAGAGCGCAGTGTCCAGGCACTGCGACGGAGCCGCGGTGGCAGGTGGGCACAGAGAAGGTGGCAAAAGTGAAGGGAGCCTGCGGCTCTTCCCTCCTCTGTGCTTCTGGTGCGAGGAAGACGCTGCTGACGGCCGCTAATCTTGACAGCTTCCCCTGCGCGCTCGGTTCCCAAGGGAAAAGTGAAGGAGGCCCAAGTGAGCCCCGAGTGGCCTCAAGAGAGGACAACACATCTGGGGGATTTACTAACATGCACGGGAAAGAAAATGGCCCCTGGGGGACGCCATCTCATTAACACATGAGAAAGGATGAGATTCAGAAAGATGGTCTGAAGGCTCGGGGCTCCTCCGCGGTCTTCCGTCTGTCTTGAACAATGATTAAAAAAAAAGATTTGAGAACAATTAAGCAATAATGATCTGGTTAAAATAGGCGCCTATAAAAAGCACTGCAGGGAACACTGGGAGACGTGAGCACACAGGTCAGCGGGTCCTGGCGATGCGCTCGGGGGCGGGTGAGGAGCCTGCTCGCGATGGCTTCTCCTGCAGGGCTGTGCGTTCCGGGGGGGAGAGTGGGGGCCCCACGTGGGAGGGGGACCCAAGGGGTGTGGGCTCCCCGACTCAAAACAGTGAAGAGAGGCAGCGTCATCCTGGAAAGTCCAAATTAAGTTTGTGCTAAAACACGGAGACAGAGATTATGAGCGGCTTCGGCAGTGCCGCCAACAGGAAGCCTGGGAGCCTCCATCCGGGGCTTCCAAGGAGGAACCACTGCAGACAAAAATCAGTTACTTTTTTAGGCCCCAACTTGAAGGCCTGGACAGAATGAGAGTGACTTCACTCCTGGGCTTCTGCCAGTCAATTCTTTGCCAGTCTCAGGGGTAACCATTGTGCTTGAGAGAGCTATTCAGAGTGACCTGGCTCGGAGCACCACCCAACAGATGGACAACCAGGAACAAAAAGCACCGGCATATGGCGACGTATCTGCTGAGGATCACGGAAGGCGCCTTGCAGATGCTTCGGGGACTGGGGGAAGCTGCTTCTTCGGACGTCTGCAGGGGACCGGGGTGGGGGCAGCCTAGCGGCCTAGCTTTCTTGCGTGGCTTTTAAAGGAAACATGGCTCCAAATCCAGCGTATTCTAAGATCTACAGGAACACAACCTAATCTCAAGGTGTAAGAATAATCTGATGTAGATTCCATGAAAAAGTCAAGACGAGAGCGCACAAGCACTTTTGCATAATTTGTTTGCAGAAAATGTGGTAATTCAATCTAAAGTCTAAAATTGAAACAAAGAAACAAACAAATAACTCCACCCGTTCCAAACATGGTACAAAAGTCCCCCAAACACGAGGGGACCAGTTTCAAAGACGGCAGGTTCCTGGTCTCTTCCCTGTGCCTCCGAGTGCGCCCGGATCCCAGACACTTCCAACTGCCTCAGCGCTGGTGTCCGTGTGGGCAGAATCGGGTTGGGCGGGGAGGGACGGAGAGGCTCCAGGACTGGCCTCAGACGTGGGTCCGGCAGGAGGAGGTGAGCTCCCTCCCACCCGAGGGCAGGGCGCTGGGCTGAAGGGCTCCTGCAGCCAGTGTCCTCGGCCCCCTGTCTGGCGGGGACGCTGGCTCCACACACACAGCGCGAGTCACCTTCCCGGCAGGGCTGGCGGGGCTCCTCTCTCAGGAGCACGTTTCCCGGTGTTTGTCCTGGGCCTCCCTGGCTCTTGGGCTGACGGTTATTTCCATGACTGGGGCCGACTTCTCTTCCAAACTGGGAAGGGAGGTTAAACCCACCACCTAAGCAATCTGGCTGTTTTTCTTGTAGGGGAAGCAGGTGGCGACTCAGGTACATTTCCTGGTCACGTCTATCTTCAGGGATGGACAATAGTGAGGTCCCCACTCTAGTTGGTGAGGCCAGCTCTGGTCGGTTCCCTGAGAGCAGGGAGGCCACTGAAGGTGTCTGAGACCTGTGGCAGCCTTTTCTCCGAGGGTCCCAGTCCCTGTGCGTCATGCCCTCCTTTCTCTTGCTGGTTGAGGCTCCCAGGCACCGACCCTCAGAGGGTCCTACCACCCACTGAAAACCCACTTCTGCCGTTTCTCCGTTGGGGGATGGAAACCACGGGCAGTGTGGGAGCGGTTCTCCCAGCTCAGCAGGGGGGGGGACGGCTGCTCGGCGCAGAACCCACCGTCGCCCCCTCCCCACTTGGGGTGCCCCGGTCAGAGCCACAGCACCACATCACTGAGCTGACGGGGCCTTGTGACTCCACACCGAGGCCGCCCGAGGAGCCTGGGTCAAACCGGCAGCTGAGCATTCATTTCAGTACAACAGCGTGAACTGCAGACACACTACAGGTGGTTCTCAGCAAGCCTTGGAACGAGCTCTAACAAAGCAAACATTAGCATAAAGTTGTTGGTTCAGAGCAGCTACAGTCTGAGACGAACCAAAGGAGGACTTGCACTAAAGGGGAGAATGTTGCCAACTGGGCTACTGGGTATTTCTCTAAGCAAGGCTGGGAATCTCAGAACTTTAGCTCAAGGCAAGACCTAACTCCTTCCATTTTAAGGAGCTTTTTTTTTTTTAAACATGACAGTTTATGTCATATAATTATGACTCAAGAAGTTTGGAGATTCTCTCTACAGTGAAGAAACGGTCTCCTCCCAAACAGACCCTCCATCAAAAAGCACAAACAATGGTGAGAGTCTGTGACTACAGGTTTATACTCCATGATTTTTTTGTTTTGACTGCGGCCATGGTCACAGATCCCAGCCAACCCGCCCAGTCAAACGAGGTCACACAGGTCAGGGGACCCACTTTGTTTTCTGAGTATGAATAATCCTTCCTGTGTAACTCCCACCCACCAGGGCAGCAGGGCTCAGCTTCCACTTAAGGCCTGGGCTGAGTGGGGGTGGGAGGCAGCGGACATCAGGGGGTGAGGTGTCCCGACAGCGCTCAGGGCGGATGCTCCCCTTTCTCACCAAAAACTGCCAGAAACTAAGATGAAAGACCTTGCTGTCTGGAAAAAAGTCACAGAGCTGTAATGGTGCCAACCCCTCGAGGGGCATCTTTACAACCAGTTTTGAGTAAACCTGCTTTACATGTCTGTTTAAAAGCCTTGTCAATGTGTTTAACTCTTTAGTGGTCACGCTCAGATTTTAGTAACTGAGACCACGGTGCACGGCCCACCCCACAGGTCCGAATCCTGGTCCTGGGGTGGGGGCAGTGACCAGCGTGGCTTGTTAAATGCACTGATTTAACACAGAGCGGGGAGGACAGGGCTGCAGGAGTCGGGAGAGAGAGCAAACCTCCCTGAGGAAAAGGACTCTGCTGCTGGCCGTCCTCCCTGACGGGGAGTGGGGCCTTGGGACGGGGCTCGGGGGCCAGGATCAGCCCCAGGGAGGAGACGCAGCCACGGTGCTGGTGGGAGAGCCCACCGGCTGGGGAAGTGCCTCCTCCTGAGAGCATACGTGACGATCAGCCCCTCGGGGGACGAGGGGACAGAGGCACAGCCAACAGGGCAGTTCTGGTTCCTAACACACCCAAAGTCGGCTAAGTGACGTCGTGCGCCTGGCGGAGCTTAGCAGGGCTGGAGGGGCCTGCGAGCAGCTGTGTTAACAGCGACGCAG